TTTTCAACAGGTTTACACAATTATTTATCCCCCATGCTTTGCCGCATTTTGTTTGTTTGAGAGGAGTCCATACCTGTACAATGTATGGAAAATACATTGTATTGTTTCATTTACAGTTTTTTTTGGTTTGTGTTTTTTTTCTTCACATTATTTTCATTTTCTGCTATCTTGTTTTTTTTTACTTTATAGTAAGAGCTGGTATCTATTCATCCAATTGTCATCCTAGACCCTTTGCATTCCACTCCCATTCACTTGAAACTATGACCTAAACCACCACTTGCATACCTGCCTTTCTTTCGTCTCTGTCCGTTTGCATATGCATTTCTTCACTGTCCATATGTACATGTAATTTTTATGGAATATGCTATTTTTCCGTAGGGTCTTAGTTTAGTTTATCTTGTTTGTGTGTGTGTTGTGAAAAATAGATCTTTATTGGACTTAATGTAGACATGTTGTGCTCTTATCCTTTATTTAGTCTCATTTTGAATGGTCCCCATAACATGCCTCGGCGTCTAGTACAAATGTTTCTACTTGAATCACAATTCCATTTCTCAGGTATATGCTCTTAAGACTTCTGGATCTCCATTTCCTGTCACCACACACTCTACTAAAGCAGTACTTTCTGGGTTTCTATCACCAGGCTTGGGTCTCTTGCTGCAGCCATTTCAGGCTCATTGCACATGCTGAACACCGAGAATGCACAGCCACCCTACTTTCCGTGTCATTCAGCCCCCTGGGATTAGGATATGCACTGCTTGGCTGCTCTGCATCCTCCAGATCTGGATATTCACAGCAATGGCTTTATCCAATTCGGTATCCTACTCATCCCTCAAATAAGATAGTCATTGGGTAGTCACCCACTGTAGTACATAGACTGTGTACAAAAGTTTCTGCTTTTTCTAATATGCATTTAAGGACTCTGAAGTGTTTCCTTCCTAACTCCTTTTATACCTTGGGACCTACTTTACTTTCTGTACCATTCCCACTGAATTTCGATGTAATTTTGACTTCTGGCAAACATTTCTCTTGCGCTAGAAACCTTCCTCATAGTACACTTTCCTAAAGGCACCCTTGTCTTTTTACCCACTTACAGGTAGTAAACAGTGCTTGCATATGGCACGCTGCACAGAGGCATTGTGGGCTTTAATTGTGATTCTTCTCTATGCCTTCTGACTAAAGCTGCTGCATGGACACAGCAGATTGTGGGGCTGCACTGCTTGTGGTGTTCTGCAGCTTAGCAACCAATTCTCCTCCAGGGGCAGTAAATGTTTGTGAAAACCTATATTTAATCCCCTTAGCTACTCCAAGGGATCAGGAGGAGAGCTTTGACATAGTGCCTTCAACCCTCTTTAAGCCTGATCCCTTACACTTGCTCTACTCTGAAGTTTGAAATTGGTCAGACTAAGTCTCCCTGTGATGCATGAAAATCTTCCTCTGAGCTTCCTGCTTCTATGCCCATCCTTGATACTTCTATGGGATCAGAAAGTAGCTCATGTACTTTATCCAGCAACTGGTGTTTTTTTTGCTTGTGACAAAACCCTCAGGTGTGAGGAAGGGCCGAAGAAATGAATGGGATTCCTTGTCTTGAGCATTTTGTCATGCTTAGCTTTGAGCGACAAAACGCTTAGTTGTGAATGGGAGCTACAAGTGCAGGGACCCACTTGAAGTCCAGACTAACTCATTGGCAGCTAAAGACCTCTAATGTCTGCGTAATTCCTGAAAAGCTTGATAAAAATGTCAACCACTTCTTAACTAGCATTAGTAAGGTGTACTTGGGCAGGGCAGTTAAAAGAACAGTACAGTACAAAGTTCTCCAGCTCATCAGCTAGTCAGCACAAAAACAATGCTATCCTGAACCTCAAAGCACTAATTGATGTTTTCAATGGAGTCTGTTCATTCGTTTGTGACTTGTTTGCTGCAGGGAGAATTCATATCCTTGGTGGGCATCTGAGACGTCATTCTACACATTCCTTTCTTATCTTTTTTTACATCAGTGCTTTCTGCAGTTCACATTACAGCATCAACACTTCTAGTTGGTGGTGTTGCCCTTCCAGTTGAGCACCACTCCCATAGTGTTTATGAAAGTCCTAGCCCCACTCCTGCTACAGCTGGGAACCAAGGACATGTTGAGTGAAACTGATCATAATTACACTTGGCTGTTTCTTGCCCTTCACTGAAAGATCCTCACCACGGATGAAAGCTTCTCTTGTTGGGGAGGGGTTTTCGTCTCTCTTGTCTGTACAGGGGTGGTGGACACAGGAGGAGTCCACACTATCAATCAACTTAATGAAAATTCTTCCATTGGACCCCACAGCTGAGGCTTCCATTCAACACAGTGGTGTACATAAATCATCAAATAGACAAATGAAGTAAGGCCTCAGCACAAGGATTAGAAAGTTTCCCCCACTGAAGCTTCTCCGACACATGTCACACAGGATCAAGTTGGAAAGAATTCCCACCTTTCTGATAACTAATGACTGGCCAACAAGACCCTGGACCACTGACCTAGTTTATCTGGTCCTGGATGCTCTGTGGCCTCTTTCTGCCCAATCAGATCTCTGATTTCTGCACTGAGCCAGCTCAGTCTTTTACCTCAAACGGCACAAAGTCTGGGTTTGGAGAGCATATGACTCATGTGATAGTGCTCCAACCTAGCGGCGGCCCATTCACTAGTCAGTCACATGACGGATGAAGATACATTAGTAAATACCTTTTGTCTTCAAGAGTGCCATTTACTCTAGTCATTATGGCCAACTTTGCTAGGTGTTTTTTGTTTTTTTTAGTCAGGCTGGTTGTCAAAAACTCTACTCATTCCATCTAGTGATGCTGCCTAAATGATAAAACAGTTTTAAAAAAAAATCCTCCTTTTTAAAAAAAAATATTTTACGGTTTTCCCATGTAGTATTTAGTACATGACATTTTTCTTGTTTATTTCTCACACATTCACATTTGTTTGTACAGGTTCGGTCTCTGGTGTTTGATCAGAGTGGTACTTACCTTGCTGTTGGAGGCACTGATATACAGGTTTACATCTGCAAGCAGTGGGCAGAAGTTTTGCATTTCACAGGTATGTACGTGTGTGTGTGTACTTTGTACACTTTGAAAAACCTTTAGGCAGGTTTGAAAAAATGCTGTAAAGTAAGAATGCATCCAAAAAATATATATTTTGTTTATTTTTATGAGTTTACAAATGCAGAGTGACTGAACAGAAGAAAAATCTTAATCAAATCAATATTTGGTGTGACTACCCTTTGGCTTCAAACCAGCATAAATTCTTACACTTGCAAGATCAGGGATTTTGTAGGATTAGAGTCAAGTATAGGATTAACCAATTATCCCAAGCAGGTGCTAATGATCATCAATTTCATATGTAGGTTGAAACCCAGTCAATAACTAAAACAAACAGTAGGAGGCTTAGAACTGGGTGAGGAACAGCCAAACTCTGCTAACCTGCCTTGTGAACTACCTTGTCTCACAAGGTAGTTATACTGCATCAACGAGGTCTCTCTGAGGCAAATACTTGGGTTTCAAGATGTGTTATTCAAGCTCTTTTAAAGAAGCACAAAGAAATGAACAATATTGAGGACCGTAGACGTAGTGGTGGCCAAAGGAAACTTGATGCAACAGATGAAAGACGTATCATGCTTACTTTCCTTCGATATCACAAGATGTCCAGCAGTGCCTTCAGCACTGAACTGGCGAAAACCAGTGGGACCCAGGTACACTCATCTACTGTCCGCAGAAGCCTGGCCACAAGTGGTCTTCATGGAAGAATTGCAGCCAAATCTCCGACATGGAAAAAAAAGCTTAGCAACTCAACTATGCAGGAAAACATAGGAACTGGGGTGCAGAAAAATGGCAGCAGGTGCTCTAGACTAATGAGTCAAAATTTGAAATATTTGGCTATAGCAGGAGGCAGTTTGTTCGCCGAAGGGCTTTAGAGCGGTACAATAATGAGTGTCTGGGGCTGCATTTCTTCCAATGGAGTTGGAGATTTGGTCATCAATGGTGTCCTCAATGCTGAGAAATACAAGCAGATACTTATCCATTATGCAATACCATCAGGGAGGCATGTAATTGGCCCCAAATTTATTTTGTAGCAGGGCAACTACCCCAAACATACAGCCAATGTCATTAAGAACTATCTTCAGTGTAAAGAAGAACAAGTCCTGTAAGTGATGGTTTGGCCCCCACAGAGCCCCGATCTCAACATCTAGTCTATCTGGGTTTACATCAAGAGACAGAAGGATTTGAGGCACAGAAGATCTGTGGTTAGTTCTCCAAGATGTTTGGAACAACCTACCTTCCGAGTTCCTTCAAAAACTGTACGAGTGTGGATTTCTCTTCTGTTCATTTCCTTTCCATTTTGTTAATTGATAAAATAAACACTTTTTTGTTTCTGAAAGCATTCTTAGTTTAAAGCATTTTTCACACCTGCCTAGAGATGTAAAACATTTTGGGGAAAATTGAAAAAAAATTGTGCGGAGTATTTTTACAAATTGAAAGTCATTGTGTTACACTAAGATTGTGAAATGCAGTGTATATAAGTATTATGCTTGAAATAAAAGTACAGCCTATTCAGTAAATAAACTAAACTTGCTTTTTACATTTTATTTTTTTATTACAAATGGAGTACAAAGGACTATACATGTTTATATGTTAATAACATTTCAACTATACATGAGAACAGGTAACTACCCCCTTTCCCTCAAAAGCAACAAAACAAGCAAGAACATATTTGCAAATTGCAGCTTTGCTCTCAGCAGAAGTTGCACTGTGAAAATGTTTCCAAACTCTAGATGTTGGTCTCAACATTTTACTGAGAGGAGGAAAAAAAACAATTTGCTGACCAGTCTATAGGTAAACATTATACTGTGATGGTATAGAACATTATTAGGAATCATTTAAAGGTTATAAAGTTAAACTAATTTGGCAGATAAATGTACCCTCTCACCTGTCAATTAAGGCCTGAGAGGACAAAAACTATCATACCAACAATAACCCAGCTGTAGGAAGTATAAGATAGAGCCCACAAGCTAACTAAACTGGAGCCTTTACTCTGCAGTCCCCCTAGTGGCAAGAATGCATATTTCTTTTTGAGTTTGAAAACTGCATTGAGAAGTACAGTGTTACTTGAATTGTATTTCAGGATTTTCTTGTCTTCAGCTGAGAGAATGTGCATTAATGTAAGACTTTACATGAAGTCTGAGAAATCTTTCATTAAGGTCTTCATGTTATATAGTTTGAATACCATGTCAAAGATATATTATTTATCATTGTAAAAGAACATATTCCACACTTCTTTTTTTTTATTTAACTTTTTTTCTGAAAAAAACTAACGGTTTTGGGGAAAAAATGTTTTTTTTTAGCCCTTCCCATCTCTACACCTGCCTAAAACTTTTGCACAGCGATACTGAGGACTGTATTTGCAGGGAAATACAGTAAAGTCCTGAGGCTGACACTGGGAGTGTATGGGACAGCCAGATGTTAGTGAGACACAAACATGTTATTTTGAGGAAAGTCAAATGAACTGTTATGTTTCATTATGCTGAAGAAAAACAAATTATGTGAAATACATGGATTTTGGCCTTTGTGTGAATAAAGACTGTCCTTTTATGTTGGTCGGCATCAGGAGTGGTCACTTAGCTCTCATCATTATGCTAAATTCCCCATACTATATAGAGAGCGAGGGAGTATTCAGACCCCCTTCGCTTTTTTCAGTAGTTTTTATGTTACAGTCTGATACTACAGTTTAAATTCTCTCCTTTTTATCATTAACCACCTGCTGTCCGGCCGTTGTAATTAAACGGTCGGACAGCGGCTTCTTGAATGCGGATGGGCGTTTTTAAACGTCCAACGGGAAATCAGCCTGCAAAGTAAACAGCCGGCGATGGCTGTTTACATAAAAGCGTTCGGGCGTCTGTAGAGATGCCCGATCGCTTGTAATGTGCGTGCGGGTGTGCGCCCCCTCCGAGCTCCGCTGTGCCCGGTGCGAGCCCGGGACCAGCACAGCAGCTCTGCGGCCGGGGATAAAACGGAGCTCAGTACACGAGCTCCGTTTGATCTCCTCTTCGGAATGCAGGCAGTGATGTTTAATACACTGCCCACATTCAGTGTCACTCTCCGATACCTCATGAAGCAGGTGTTTACTTCATCAGCTTCTCTGGTGGTCCCTAGGTGACAGGGGTCTTAAAGACCCCTGATGTCTCCATAAAGAGGACCTGTCACTGAAAATTGGCTATCACAAAGGGGACTTGTTAGTCACCTATGTGATAGCAATAAAGTTAAGTGGAAAAAAATGTTTAAAAGAATTAGTTACAAAAAAAATATTAAAAAAATAAGTCACATATAAATGTAATAAAAAATGTTCAAATGTTTAAGTACCCCGCCCCCCACATACACATGCAAACATGCGTCGAGTGCGCCTAAGTGCGTAAACGACGATTGCATCCATTACGCCGCACATGTTATGTGTCGCAGTGAGAGCAATAATTCTCGGCCCATCAATCGCTGATAACACTAACCTGATGAGCGGTAAAAGCTTTTAAAGCGTCGCCTATGGCCAATTATGGGTATGGTAGTTTTTGCAATTTTAAAGCTTGACATGTTTGGTGTCAATTTACCCGATGTGACCCCGCCTTTTATATTTTGCCAAAAATGTGGGTCATAATAACTGTTTTATAACATAACGTAGGGAAAACAGTTTTTTTTTCCCCAAATTTTCTGTACTTTTTTCATTATATAGTAAAAAAATAAAAACCCCAGTGGTAATTAAATACCACCAAAAGAAAGCTCTATCTGTCCCCAAAAAATGGTATAAATTTAATTTCAGTACAGCGTTGCATGACGGAATAAATGTCAGTCAAAGTACTACAGTGCTGAATACTGAAAAATGGCCTGGACAGGAAGGGGGTGTAAACACCCCGGTCAGCAAGTGGTTAAGCTACACTCAGTACCCGATAATGACAAAGAGAAAACAGAATTTTAGAAATTTCTGTGAATTTATTAAAAAGAAAAAACTGAAATATCACATGTACTTAAGTGTTCAGACCCTTTACTCGGTACTTTTATTGAAGTACCGAGAAGGCAGCAATTACAGCTTGCAGTCTTTTTGGATATGATGCGACAAGCTTTGCAGATCTGTATTTGGGGATTTTCTGCCATTCTTCTTTGCGAATCCTCTCAAGCTCAGTCAGGTTGGATGAGGACCATCGGTGGACAGCTTTTTTCAGGTTTCTCCAGAGAGGTTCAATAGGGTTCAAGTCAGGACATTTACCGAGTTGTCCCTAAGCCACTCCTATTTTGTGTTGACTGTGTGCTTAGGATCGTTGTCATGTTGGGAGGTGAACCTTCTGCCCAGTCTGGGATCCTGAGAGCTGTGAACTCTTCCAGAAGCCCTGGACACCTAATCCACCAAGTCCAAAAGCAAGTCCTCCTTTCGGTGAGGTGGTACCCTCACTTGTCAGAATGTTGGCCTTTGCAGCCATCTGGTCCCAGAGAATGTCATATGCTTGGGTCTGGGATGTTGTTTTTCAAGGGCTACTAAATAGAATTGCTCTGCCTGCTCCCCACATCTTTGTTGTCAAACTTGCCAACATTTCCAAAAAGGTTGGCTGACGCTCAAGCAGCTTCTATCTCAAGAAGTCATAGCCGTTGTCCCAGAGAAGGAGAGGTGCCAGGGTTTCTGTTCAAATCTGTTCAACATGCTCTATGCAAAAGGTGACATCTTCCTCATACTCAATCTAAGTATTCTCAGCAGATTCCTTTGAGTTCTAAAATTTTGTATGAAAACCGCCCAATTATTCTTTGCTTCCCTGCACCTGGGAGACCTTCTAGCCTCCGTGGACATTAAGGATGTTTACTTGCATGTCTATCTTCCTTATGCATCAGCGCTTTCTTTTTTTAGCAGTGGTTATGCACAGTACGAATTTGTTGCACTTTGCTTGGCCTGTCCACTGCACCACTGTTCTCGATCTGCTTCTCTCTTAAGGCATCCCTGTAGTGGTGTTTCTGGACGGCCACCTTCTGCGGGAACACTCAGCTCGGGCCCTGTCAGCCAATGTCCAG